TCCCAGCCTGTGTTCTGTGGGAGGGGCCTGCGGCGCTGTTGCTCAGGCAACCCTGCTTGGGCAGAGTTGCCCTGCCCCCTGTGGAGGGGGATGGGCTCAGTGCGAACCAGTTTTTGAGGCTTTTGTTCTCTGGCGGCTTTCCACGTCTCTTCCGAGAGTCAGAGCAGAAGAGACTGTTTCCAACCCTCTGCCTCAGAGCAGAGAGATTGCAGTCTGTTCTTCAGTGAGCTCTCCAGGCCACACTATCTCCATTTCTGTCCATGCTGCTATAAACTGCAGCGTCCTGGGTAGTGTGCCTCTCCGCAGTGCCCCCAGTCCTGCCTTCAGGTCAGGGCACATCTCTGCCCTTTGTGCTTCTAAAACTGCCAGCTGCTTCCAGTTCACACGCACGACCCTACCGCTCCGGGTTTCTGTCCTGGGGGTTGCCCTAAAGTCCTTTCCCCGCCGCTACCGGTCTGGGAGTCTGTGCCCCGTCCCCAGCATGCAAAGCTGTCGCTCACCAGAGATGTAGGATCCCCAAAGCCAGGCTCCCTCCCGCTGCTGTTTATCCTCTGATATCTGCCCATGGAATCACGGCTCCCCACTTCATACCTCGAAACCAACCGCCTGAGATATTCTGTTTGTTAAAGATCCAGATCTATTTTCTTACATTTCAGGCTGATTTCATGGGTGCTCAGAGTGGTCTGGTAGATATCCAGCTCAATTCCAGAGACCAGATGGAATAGGGTCCCCTACTCCTCTGCCATCTTTTCTCCCACCCCGACTAACTGGAATTTAAATAAAAACTAAAAACCAAAACAAAACAAAACAAAACAAAAACTTGTTTTGTGGCCTAACAATTGACATATCCTACAGAATGTTTCCATGTGTTACTTGAAAAGAATGTGTATTCTGTTGAATTTGGATGAAATGTTCCGTATAGGTCTGTAAAGTCTGTCTGGTCTATGTCATTTTAATGCCAATGTTTCCTTATTGATTTTTCTGTCTGGATGATCTATCCATTGATAAAAGTGGGTTTTAAAGTCCCGTATTATTACTGTACTGCTATCTTCTTATTGGATTGACCCCTTTATCATTATATAATGACCTTGTCTCTTAATTAGTCTTTATCTAGCTTTCTTTAGGTTTCCATGTGCATGGATTATGTTTTCTGTAGGTTTCCATGTGCATCTTTTCCATCCCTTCACTTTCAGTCCGTGTGTACTCCTACATCTGAGGTGAGGTATTATAGCAGCATAGAGATGGGTCTTGTCAGTCACTCTGTCTTTTCATTGAGAATTCAGCCCATTCACATTTAATGTAAATATTAATAGGCATGCACTTATTGCCATAGTGTTGTTTTCTGGCTATTTTATAGTTCCTTTGTTCCTCTCTTCTTCTCTGGTTCTCTTCCTTTGTGATTTGATGATTTTCTGCACTGGTATGCTCGAATTCCTTTCTCTCTTTTGTGTATCTAACTACAAGGTTTTGCTTTGTAGTTACCCATGAGACTTACATAGATTGTTACAAATGTAAGTAGCCTTATTTTAAGTTAGTAGCAACTTAAGTTAGAACACATTCTAAAGCTCTACATATTTACTCCTCCCCCCTTTGCTGTAGCATGACCCACACATGCTCATCATGTTTGTTTTTTGTTTATATAGTTTTTTAATATAAGCTCTTAAATAAATTAAATGTGGACCCGCCAAGGCTGTTAAATAGTATATACGACATTAAAAGAGAAAATTTAATGGTTCCTAGATCCTGCCTAAACATGTCTGCTCTAAAGTTAATTTCACAATAGGAGATAAATATTCTGTATTTAGGTTTGAGTCAAAGTAATACCTAACTGGAGAATGCAGGCTTTAAATATGTTTATGTACTATATTAAATGGAAATAAAACTTTGGCATTAAGTGATAATGCAACCACTTTTCTTGTACTTCAAATTCATCGTTCCTTCATATACAGATGTAAAATTTTTATTTTACCACAGACTTCTAGCTTAATTTGCTTTCTTGAAAACCACAGAGCCCAGTCATTGTATAATCAATATGAAGTTATTCCAGTGAAGATAGTCAGGACTTGTGGAAGAAAGCCATCCAATGAGGAGCCAGAGAAGGAGGGAGGGAGGCCTGTTTTTTTTGGCTGTGCCAGTCTGAAGTGAAGTTTCTGTCTGACTAAACTGGGAGGTGGAAGGAAAAGAAAATGTGTTGTTTCAAATGCCACAGATTCTCATTGTTCTTAGCAAATCTTGGTAAACTTTCTTGAATTTCCAATGACTTGTTTTAGAATTTTCACCATTTCACTGGGCAGCTGGTCTGTGGAGCTACTCATGCTGTCATCCTGGAAGTGCCTCTCATGTCCTCATTTATGCCCAAAATGTTTTCTTGGGTTATATGTCCAATTGTCTTCTTTAGGGGCTCTAATTATGTATATATCAGACCTCCTTTGACTACCTTCCATTTCAACTACTTTCGGATATTTTTTTTCCTCATTTTAATTGTTTTCCTATACATTTCTGGTAGGATTTTGCCTTCTTGTCCTTTTTTTTTTTTTTTAAATTCAATCCATTCTCCTTATATTTTTTTCTTGTCTTCTTGACCATTATTGTTCTTTGTATTTCTCAAAGTGGTTTTTTGCCCCCATACTCCCAAATGTTTATTTGATGACATTTCATTCAGTTGAAGAGTGTCGTGTTACAGTGTAGGTTTTGGATTTTTCAGTTCTGCCCTTCACTTAGGAGATTTCTTTTACAGATATACAATTATTTTACAGCAGTTTTTGTAGGTTTATTGGGGGAGGAGTGAGGAAAGGCTATTATTTTTTGCCCCTCTTTTTCTTCCTGCAGGATCTTTAATTTCTTTGTTTTCCTCACTGCCACACCTCTATGGGGAGCTAACTCTTCTCTTTGTATCTGATTCTCCTTCAAAAGCAATGCTTCTCTGAGGCTGCGTCTTCAGGTCACACTGTCTTTCTATAATCATTTCCCTATAGCATGTGCTGTGAACCAGAATGTCCTGACCTGTGTTCAGTATTCTGGAACTTAGTATTAGGCTTTTTCTTTTTGAGGATGCTTTTGCTTGTGCTATTTCTTAGTTGTTCATGCCCCTCTACTCTTAAGGCCTCAGAATTTATTTCTCTAGTTAAGGCAATTAGAAGGTTATGGTATTGTTTCCTAGTCATCCTGAAGAGATGAGTGATTTATTTGATCACTTTTTTTAAGTCTGAGAAAAATCAGGCTGCTGTCGTTTGGACAAAGGTCCAAAAAACCTTTGTTAAGAAGACTTTTAATTATGGATTTAATCTCTTTATTAGATACAAGACTGCTTAAATTTTTTGTCACTGTTGTCAGTTGTAACTTCCTGATTTCATATAAATTTTCAAACTCATCTGCATAATTTTATGCAGAATCAAGAACAAACAAGACGTTATTCTTGCTACTGGCAACATGGGTCTTCCCTTTTCTTTCTTCATCAGTCCTTTTAAGGGAAGTGGCAGTTTTGGAAATACTGGGAAGGTCTTCGACATTTCTCTCTGCTCTCCCCTAGAATCTTTGAAGATAGTGACTGCCTTCGCCAGTAATATACTGCGGATGTGACACTATATGAATTCGACACTATATGAATTCTGAGGCTAGGTCATAAAATGCCTTGCAGTTTCATGCTAGTTTTATGGGGATGTTAACCCTAAAGAGTGTCCCAAGAGTATAAACCTCCTAACAGTATAAACCTCCTAACTAGTCCATCCTGAGGAAAACACCTACCTTTTTGCCCTCACAAATCCTCAACCATTTCAGTACACTGATAAAGGCATAGTTTCGAAAGCAAAGAATTCAAATAATCAAGGTTACATTGGAAACCACAGAAGTAGAGATGTAATAGATAAAGCTGTCAGGGAGTTTTCATATACCCATATGTGAATAGCTGGTTTAATACATATGTAGTCTGCTCCCCACCCCGTTTCACATTAAGTGGAGGAAGATTAAGTTGTAACATGCAATGCTGAAATATCCCTACTTGTCTACCATAAGGCATGTTGCACTGCTAGGAATTCTAAAAAAAAAAAAAAAGCTATGGATTAGGAAAGTTCAGAAAATACCAGCAACTAGTAGTATCCAATTAATATTTGTTAGATGAATGTGAATGAATCAGTTCATTTTTTTCTGGCCTAAATTACCACAAGCATAATATACAATAAAAAGTTACTGAACTATTAATTCATATTCTTCAAAGTGTTGGTCTCTCTGGGACCCTTATCTTGAGAAGAGCTTATTTTCTCAACATTATTTTAATCTTTTTTGAAATATTTAATCTCTTGGATCCATGTTTTTAGGCTAGTGAGAAAAAAATGGGAATGACTTTAATACTTAAGTGGAGTTTAACAAGTTATTGTGTAGTTTTAGGGTGGGTGTCTGGGAGTAACATATTAAATGAACGAACAACTTAAAATAATTTGTGAATAACCTACCAAATCCAGGAACACTTTTGAGACTAGCTTTGAGGCAAATTTTCTCCAATCTGAGGTAGCTATATCTCATCAGACAGTTCCACAGGAACAGCCAGTCCATTCTTGTCCGATGATTCATGATAATGACACTTCTCTCCCCAGGAACAAACGCATCACCTGTTATAATCACTTTTATACCAAACATGGTCTCCAGCAATGCCTAAGGAATAAATAATACAGACATGTAACAACTGAAAATATGGTTTCCCATAGGTAAATTTTATCATATCCTGTAAATAAATCAGACTTCTAATAAGTCAAAGCCATAGTGTTTCTCAAGATTATTGCTTCGATAATAAATCTGGAAGAATGAGAATACAAAGGCCCTGTTTCTATTTTTAGTTTTATTAATTTAGGTTTCTGACAGTTTCCTAATTAAATGCTAACCTTCACTGAAATCTTCAGGATATATTATTAAGTTAAAAAGTGTAAAAGACATGCAAGAAGATTCTTTTTAAGGTTATAGATATATAAGATTATTACTTTCTAGAAAGGATAATTAACACCGGGTATAGGGCTGAGGGAACAGAAAGTCAAAATTTTCATTTTATACCTTTCTGTATTATGATCTTTTTAAACACATATACATATCTGCATAATAATATATAAAGAATAAAATAACTATATGTTTATAAAGTTCTGCAGCCTGGCATCTTCTACGTAGAAGATGCTCAAGTATTTGTTGAATTTGTTTAATTAACTTTTCTGATAACCAGGCATATAATATATTACAGACTGGTTTTGTGGAGGAAAAAAAAACAGAAGATAAGAAAACTTAATTATTGATTTCAATCCCTTATTTAAATTGCAAATAATTTTTAGGTTAAAAAAATTTACTAGTTAAAATATGACTTCACTATTCACAGAGAGAAAACTGGTCCAAGGCAGAGAAAAGACATCATGAAAACCTTTATAGAAGTGTATAGCCATATAATGGGATATGAAGCAACAATGAAAGTAAATGAACTACAGGCATCTACAACAACACGGATGGCACACAACAAGCATAATGCTGAGAGAAGCAAAACAAGAAGTGTCATATGTAAAATTATAAAGAACAGCAAGGAAATGACTATCTTACGAGATGGTTGTAACTTCTCAGCCCTCCAGCAAACCACCTACTTTCTGATACTCTAGTTCTTGACCTGTTTGATAGTTACACTTTAATAGATCATTTTAAAGTGTGCATTTATGTTTTACTAACTTTGGATATATATGACACAGATGAGTGGACCAAGAAAAAAAAAGATTAAAAGGAATATTAGCTAAGGAAAAGTCAGGAATGTTTTGTGTCCAAAGAATTATGGAATCAGAGTGTTAACATCTTAACAGAGTAAAACAGATATCCCACAGATCCCAAAGCTGAGATTCACTTTAGGGCATGAGTGTTTAACCTAACATCAAGTCCTAGAAGGATGGCCTTCAAGGGGTAAATAAATACGAACACCTCTTGAAAATGTATACACAGGTACTTTGCTCAATGCCTGCAGTTTTCATCAGATTTTCAAAAGGGTCCATAACCACTCAATTATAACCCCCACTCCAAAGTCTTGGGAAGCCAAGTCTCTATGTAGAAAGACTTCCTGATGGAGAGGATCATGGCAGAGTCCTCTAGGCTTTAAGTATATAGGACCATCACCTCCCAAAATGAATCACTTAATCTCAGCCCAAAAGACAAGTGTGAAGTCACCATCTATGGCTTATTAATTTGGATCCGCCCACTCTGCTTTCCAAATGATACAGTTTTTACAAAGAACTGAAATGCATGATGCCCTTCCCTTAACTAGTAGGAAGATGTGTGTTGTACCACAGAAAAGAGTTAAAAATCTTAAAGCCTATAAATCCCAAACCTTAACCTTTTAAGTGCAATTTCTAATACGTGTATCCTGTGGGTCCCAAATGTCAAAATAAATCCAGACTGTTTGTCCAGGAGCATATCGTATGGCATTCTCTCCCTTGCCATCCAGCACTTCATCAGAATGTGCCTGAAAGTTATATATAACCTTTTGGACAGCCTAAATCTCAAACTCACATTAATCATTTGTAATACCAGACAAGACCTATCTAGTCAATGTTATTTATAGCTCCTGCAAAGGCAGAACTACAAATATTTACTACACAGAGATAAGGTTGTAACGTCTCTAAACTGCAGAATTCAAATAATCAGATTAAAACTGATTAATCATATAAACATTAAAAGCTGTTATAGAAAAAATGTGAGAATAGTGTCTTTTTTTCTAGTCTAGAACATAAACTAGTATAGAAGAAAAACTAATCTTATAAAATTTAATAATGCTTTACAGAAGCAATTTCTGAGGATCTTATATAGACCACTAATCACTACCTCCAAGTGTCCCACCGTGTCTGAAAACACAAAGATGAGAGGTTCCCCCTCACGATCACAGAGAATCAGTTTTGCCATCATGCCCCAAGCTCTTTTAGTCTGAGGTAAAATCAACTCTCTGGCGCTCCCCATCTCCCAATCTGCTTGGGCTTTTCAGACTCCACTTAGGCCCAGCTCCTCAAATCCTTAGCTATTTAAGGCGCTGAATTCCCAAGTCACTCATCAAACACGATGCCCCCTCTCTTAGCGGCAGTCTAGGCAGAAATTATACTCTGTATCTGTTGAACACCTGTTTTGTTCTAGGATTGGACTGGAATCAGCAGGCTGTGGAAGAGACTTGTGTGGGGAGTTAGCAAATGATCTCTCAATTCCTGAGTCATGACTTAGGGTGAAAGGACAGAACTCCAAATAATTTTCATAATCCCAGGTTATTAAATAACAATTGGACTGTTGGAAAGACTCCGAATTTTGAGACGCAAAAAGTGCACATGCAAAGTCTGACCTTGACAATACTGATTATGCTGAACAGAACTGTCCTAAAATGAAATGAATAAAGACCTACACTCCCCACTGTAGGTATGTACCAAGAGAGACTGGTCACTCTGCAGACTGTTCTGGAAGGAATTCTTACAAAGATAGGTTAGACTGGGCGACCTCTAACTCTAAGATTCTAGAAGATTTTACTGTGGTACTGCATTTAACACAAAAAAATGTGCTCCTTAAAAATGGTGAGAGAAGAAAAATCTTGCCAATGAAATAATTTTAATGCACAAGAGATGCTTACAAAAGAGATCGTTATGATTATTTCTGTGAAGCAATAATTTAAGTGCATTTACCTAATCTATTATTAGTGAACATTTTTTTAACTGTTTGGGATTGCTTAAAATAAAGTACGTGTATAGCAGAGAAAAGACTAAATTCTCACTGAGTAAAAAAAATTATTTGCTTCTAATTAAAACTCCTTTAGCACCCTGTAAAAGTGTGAAATAAAAGGTCATAAAAGACACCCTGACAATTTTTTGCAACCTAGTTATAAGGCATTCAACTTCTATAAATTTCTTAGCTGAAAGACTCTGCTTGATATGCCCTTACTCAGAATCAAGGCAGTGAGTTAAACAGGTAATAGAAGTTTTTTCAAATACACACTAATTTAATACTACAGTGGTGGTTGAATTTTGCGTGTGTATTATGTTCTGAACTCAGGTAATAAAGCAAAAGTCAGGAATAGCTGAAACTTAACCCTTGAAAATCTCTCAGAAAGGTACCTCGGGGAGACCAGTACACTAAATAAATCCAACTCAGCCAGTTTTTTCTGAAGACTGTTGCAACAGCTTTCTCCAGCTGACCATCAGATGAAGTGACTGGTCTACATGCTATTTGAAACACAAGAATTATAGTACAGCACCCCCTCACATTTCCCATTTCCTCTCACTTTCAGTGGAGGTGGGGGCAACCTTAAATTTAAAAAAACAAACAAAAAAACGGCATTCTTATCTTTCCACTCTTCCCTCATCCACCCTAGTGCATGTAATTGGAGTTGTATAAAGACTTGTACCATAGTGTATGGTGTAATGCTGTGTGATAGTAACATAGCAGAAGCAGCTATGGCAGAATTTGTCGAGTGAAGTCCAGTGTTTCCTCCAGAGTAAAAGATTTTAGTTATGTACCTAGCTGCCCAGAGGAAAGACCATATTTCCCAGATGTTATTACAGCCGTTCGCTGTTCCCTCCAACACGGTGAGCAAGAGAGAGAGGTGCTATTTGTAATTCACTGATTTAAAGGAAAGCACTTGCTCTGGACTTCCTCCCAGACCCACTTCCTGCAGAGTGGGGCAAAAAAGTGGTAGTGACCAGTCCTGACCATATAAAAGAGTATTATGCCAGGCTGGGTGGAAGGAATCTGAGTCCCTGAATGATATCAGGGAGCAGAGCTACTTCTGAAAAGGCTATATTCACTACCTCATTTAGTCGTCAGAATAACTAACTGTCTGAGGTAAGTAGGTAGTATTAGAACCCCCGTTTTTCAAATGAAAAGAGAAGTTTAGGGAGGCTAAGGAGCTCCGCCAAGTTCAAACGACTAGAAAGTGGTAAGGCCAATAGTGAAACCAAATGTCTGTACCAATAAGCATTCTACTTATATTGGCTCTCCAAGGAAAATAGATTGATCGTGGACACTAAAGCTTTGCAACTGCAATGATTCCTACCAATGTAGTAACTAGAAGAAAATTTTCAAAACCCTTCAGGTTTTGGTAGAGAGAAGTAGCCAAAAATGTGATTCATATTCAAAAGATTATGCACTGGAAAATTTAAGACATTAAATGAAATGTAAAACAATGTATGATTACTACCAAATAATCATTTACCTCCAAATGTCTGCCTTAGAATCAGATACACAATGCTGAATCTGAAATGGCTCAGTCCGATTTCCTTATTTCACAGATGATAAAATAAAAATCTTAAAAAAGTTAAAAGTTTTCTAAATGAAATGTCTCTGGTTTTATAATGACTATAAATAGAATTAGTTAACATTTAGATAGCTTGTAGAGGACTTTTTAGAAATATCTACTTTTGACAGTTAACCTTATGTGACTTGGGCATTATGTGCTTATTTTACTTAATATAAGTATGATATTTTATGGAAAAATACTCATTTTGTAAATAACACCACAAAACAAATATTCCCTATTAAATGGTCTGTTTGAAGACTGCAATGAAACAATGGACTTCATATCCTTAAAGCTAATTTAAAAATCTACCTCTAAAAACTTCATGGTCTGAGAAGTCACCTTCTGTCCTCTAACAAAGGAGGCAGTCTCTCAGGCGAATGAAAGACAGAAACTAGTCAAGCTGGTGCATATCTACAAGTAGGCAAGATAGCTTAGGCAGAACACTATTACCTCCCCGAGGCCAGAAGTCCTATCTGTCCTGTTCGTCATTACCTTCTAGCAATATGCTTAGCACACGGTGGACACTTACTAAATAGTTGCTGGATGAATGTTCCAGGACCCTGCTGCTTACTTTTGCCATAAACAACAGTTAACTTACCAAAAAATCCTTCCTTCTATTATGAAAGGAAAAAGAATTTTTGAATAAATGTATAAGGAGGATCCATACTGATAATGTAAGAATATTATAAATATTCAATACAATGTACTTCCTACAGGAAAAAAACAGATAAGGAAGCTCAGAACATAATGAAACCAACAAAGAACCCAATATAAATTCTAGAACTTGAAAGTACGGTATTTTAAATAGAGGTAGCAGAAGAGAGGGTCAGTGAACCTGGTGACTTGTGAGAAATCATCATGCCACTGAGACTGATTTTGTTAGTAGTTATCAGTTTCTCAAATTTTTTTCCCTTGAGGCATTGCCTGGCTTGAAAGAACTCCAAACCTTCTTCTTTTGAAACAATCATAAGGTCCCAGTGAACTTCTTACCACTGGAAGTTAAAGTGCCATGTAACCCTGCCAAGGTTTTCCTATCACCTAAGGCTCTAATGGCAGCAAAGTGAGTTTAATCTCAGCTCTACTTAAATAATTTGCTTATGCATGTGACCTCCAGCAAATTATTTAATTTCTCAAAGCTTCTACTTCTTCTGTAAATTGGGGATAATGGTAGTGCCTGGAAGGAAGGCATCCTAAAGTACTTATTAGCACAGTATCTGCCACATAAGTGCTTAACAGCTATGACCATCATTACCCTTTAACAAAATCTTATAATTCTTCTCCGTAATCTGGATTAAATATGCAACCATACCAGTTATAGTTATTTATCATCTACCAGTTATGCTATAGTCCCTTTCTTTGTGCTTACAGATTTAAGTGCAAAAACAGAAAAGAAAGGGGGAAGAGGAGAGAAGGGAGGGACAGACGGAGAGACGGGACTACTTTTAGTTTAACATGATCACATTTCATAAAACAGTTAACTGAATAATTTTTTTAAAAAATTAACCTTTGACAAAGGACAAATGCAATTCTTAAAATTAGTCACCAGAGGAATCCTTTTTAAAATATGAAGAGGGTGCACTGTAATAGCTCCCCACAGCATTAGCGTACTTTCTTCTCTGCAGATATAACAAGGGCGGGCTGCCTGAGGGGAAAAGCGCAACGCAGTTCAAAAGACACAGGTGGAAAAAGATCCTTCAGCAACTGAAGGACAAGGACTCCCTCCTTGTTTTCCTGGTCAGGTATATCCTCATCACCCCCACCATGACTGCTCCATAAACCCAGTAACATTAAGTTCTAGCTGTTGCTCAGGAAAAAGAAAGAACAGAACAGTCTCAGGAAATATAAGCTATTCAAGGTAAAGGCAGTGCATGGGTGTCACTCCATTTTTGGAGAAGGCATTACTGACTAGCAGCAACATGGAAGGGCTAAAGCAGCTTTAGTCCAGAAGAGGGACGGGGCTGGACTGGAATCCTACAGGACGTTGCCAGTTGCGAGCTCAGAATCAGGGAGATGTGCTCAGAGCTGTATGCACTGACCTTGCAGAGAATACCTGCCTGTTCCAAGAATCTACTACACATTTTGTACATACTTTTACCTTACAGATGCTGTCACTCTAGCTCACAGATGGGAAACCACTTTATTCCTAAATTCTGTGGTTACTGGGAAGAATTAAATCAATCACATCAATATCAAGAGTTCAAAAAAACAGTTTATCTCAATCTTAATTTTTGCCATTATCTTGTAAAATAAATGGAAACACAAAATTAATGATGTAAAAATTCTTCAAAGTATACCTCGATGAAGGAAAATAAACTTCATGAGGAATATAAAAGAAACTTGTAATTTTGGAATATGGCTCTTAAGATATTTTACTTCAAGGACATGAATTATATTTAATTCTCTAGTTCCTGTATTTCCTCCAGAAAGGATTTATAGGTTTCTTCTAACATTTGACTAAATCTGACTCTAACAAAATAAAAATTGGTCAGCTGGGCCACTTTGGTCCAGTCTCCTTATCAGGCATGTAACTTACCACAGGCAGTGTGAGCCAGGTTGCCACAAGGCGGTTGTTGATCCAGCGATACCAAGATGGGCTTACAAACATCAAAGGTAAAAAGGGGCCGAGCATAAAAATGCTTCCGAAAAAGCTTCCGCAAAACAGAGTGAGTATAAAGTAAATCCCTTTCCATGACACCATGATTCTGAAAGATATAAAATATATATATATATTTTGTTACTATACATATATCTGCCCAAATTGAAAATGCATAAAATAATCTTTCATTACAGGGCTACAGAAAAGCCTCAGACAAAGAATATAAGAGCTTGAATACCATAAAGGTAACCCTCATAGATGTCCTACAGGTCTAACAAACTTCCAGTACATTAGAAATCAATATTCTCAGAGTAAATGTCTAACCTAGAAAAAAAAAAAAGCTGTCTCGTTTAAGAAGGCTTTGTTTTTTTAACTGGTTATTAGTATTAACATAAACCTGTAGAAGTTACCCAACACAAAACCTTAAAATATTCCAGAGGTTTTTTTGTATCCCACTACAAAGAGTAGACTTAATGGACCAAGAATTACAGAACAGCTTCCTAAGAGTGACTGCCTGAAAGTGTTGGCAATTTTAGAGTGCACTAAATATTTTTTTAAAAACCTAGATATGTTAATTCTTCACATTAAAACCTGAAAGTAGTATCTTTGGGCAACTCATCTTAAACTGGCTTTTTCTTTATGAGCTGAAAGATTAAGTAGAAGTCAGATTCCTCACTTTCCTAAACTATTTGCCAAAAGATTACTTTCAGGGTCCTCATAACCAGAAATGCTTAATATTGACATTTTTAAATAAACTGTTGGAAACACAGTTTAAAACGAATAATCAAACATTTGATTTTATAACCTAAACAAGAGCAAAAATATGGGTTGCCTCAGGATAAAACTGTTAGAATCATTAAAATTATGAAAACAATAATGGCCTTAAAATTTTTAAATTACAAAAGGTATTCCAGTCATCAAGAGCTGTGATTCTTTTTAAATATTCAGAACAGGAAACAAAATTTCAAATGTCAAAGTGCTTTAATAAATGTCAGACAAACAATAAAACCGGTCAAATCTCTTACACAGATTCCAGTTTATCTGGGTGTGGAGCAGGTTTTTAAATCTCTACCAGTACTTGAGAGTATGTATACAAAATCCTATCAAGTACAGAGAATGAATATATGAGGACTGGTTTTTTGCTAAACTCACAATCTGAACTTCGAAGTGAGGGCGGAGAGAAAGACCACTGAAGAGCAGAAGCGGAACACTTGGCCGGCCCAGGACGGTATGTGTTCCTCCGCACCCTCAGCCTCGCTTTCTGAGGCCCAAGCTCTCCTCTTTGCACTGAAAGAAGACACTTAGGCAGCTTATTTCCAGTCTTTACAAGAAAGCTTTTTTAAAAGAGGAAAAAGAAAAAGACAATCTGCAGCACTGCTCCTCTGCCTGAAACCCTCTAAGGACCCTCTGTTGCTCTGTTTGTTTCTGCCCTCGAGCCATTCGCTAGCTGTCTAGACACCTACCCCTAAACTCCCTGAAGAGCTGGGCTTCACACTCTATCTGCACACATCGATCAAAGCCTCAGACATGCTTTTTCCTCGCTTATTAAACTATTTCTCATTTGATGTGATTAAGCTCCTTTATATTTTTTCTTTTAGATATTGATATCATCTAATAAAATCTTTTCATTTTACATCCATCAAGCGAAGAACCAGAAGAGTTACGATGACTTACTTTCCTAAGTCCCCATAACCAGCTGGTAGCACCAAGTTTTTTCTGCCTTCTACTTCCTTCCAGGATATTACGCCACCTCCCTCCCACTGAGGGGCTGGGAATCAGAGACCCGAATCAGCTTTTTTTAATTTTTTTTTATTTTTTATTTTTTTGAAGATTTTATTTATTTATTGGACAGAGAGAATGAGAGGGGGGAGGGTCAGAGGGAGAAGCAG